ACCCCATCGAAGAGTACTTCGGCGATCTAAAGCGATACATCAGGAAGACGTATTCGAAGTGGAACAACGATGAGAATGACACTCGGGATTTCATGGAATATCTACGTGACTGCGCTATGGAGATTGGGTATCGTCTACCCCAGATCGAGGGCCATTTCCGCCATTCGTTCGTCAACTTTGATGGGACAGAGCATATATTTGACGATATCGAACTATAAAAGGGAGGATTTGCTGCCAATATTGAACATCAGCAAGCAATCCAAATTTTCATCGTGCGTTCGCGCGCAATAGATCTTAATCGTGTCGTCATATGATGGTCAATCATCAAATCCATGATTGTAGCCAACAAGATTGCCAAAAGGTTAGCCACAAGCGCACCAGAACACAAAAAATATACCGTCGTCCATTGTTTTCGTCGGTAGCTACGTATACATATCAATTTTGCCTGTATAACGGCTGAAACGCGTTGTTGATGCTTGTGACGATGATTTGTGATGATGACACGTCATCACGATCAGAGACTTCAACCATAGTCAGAGACTTCAACTGCCCCTAACCAGTATCGGGATGGACCGAAGTGTATTGTTTGCAGATCCAAAATAACAGTAATTCTATTGCTTTTATACGTATAGAGCGGCAGTGTTGAATCTACGGCTATGGGTAGACTTTTCCGTGGTTGAACACGTCATGCAAAAAAATCGCGCATACAGTCAAACTTCACACCACTCTTGCTGTATCACTCTTCTTCGTTATCCTCCTCCGAGTAATACGTCTCTGTTGACGACGTATCACTCGAGATTTCAATCTGATTGTCCTCATCGCCTTGCTCGATTTCGTCTTGTTCGATCTGTAACTGCGTGGGCAGCATCTGCGACGCTGACAGCAGTGGTGACGAAACGAAACCAAAGAGTTCCGAAACGCCTACAAAGTTAGCCATATTCGACAGTAAACAGCTCTATATACACTCACCACGTCGACCAACTTCAACTGGCGTACCACGGATCTCTTGCTCGATGGATTGACGTGGCACTAGGGCGTCGATATGTCGGGATGACCCCAACTCGCCTGAAACTAGCGCCGCAGAGTTTTCAACTGGCGCCGCCGCCGTCCCTCCTGGCAATCCAGCGTATATTCTTGTATAAACATCTCCTTCTGACTCTCGATGGTTTGAATGAAGTTCAGAGTGAGATACCACGTCGGAGAGGGCGTCAGACTGCCCTCCGTAGTAGGCGCTGTTGTCTATGAAGGATTTGATCGAGTTCCTGACATCTTCGGTAAGATCTTGAGTAAAACCCTGTTCAGTAAACCAAATATCTGGTAACTTGCGAATTGCCCGCAAGCTACTGTCTACTGATCGCAGTTTCTGTAGCTTCTTTCTGAACCCTTCGTCGACGTTATATCGCTTGCCGCGGACGGATATAAACCACTTGATGAAGCTGGCCACTTGATCTAGAGCTTTTCGAGGCGAATCCGGTACCACTGGCGAGGACGAACGAATCGGGAGTGCGATACTTGGTTGACGAGTGCTTGGAAGGTTCAATGGCGGAAGAGTTGGCAACGAATACTGTGAGATGTTCGCATATGGCCAATATGCCGGCGGCGGCGGCGCCGGCGGCGGCAGCTGTACGTATGGGTTAGGATATTGAAGATGACGATCTGGCGCCCCCGCGTTGCCGTATATATTGACGATGGCGTTGCTGTTGGCGTTGGTTAGGCCAGATCTTGACCCTGATGATGGAAGTGCGGCATTTTCAGCCTTCTCTTCCGTCATCACTGTCGTCTCCTGGTTATCATCAACCTCCACGATATTCTTACTTCTCTTGCCCTGGCGTTTCTGATCCTCTATAAACTGGTCGTGAAGAATCTCACCAAGCAGTTCTTTAGGTGGTTCCATATTGTCAACGCCAGCCTGTCCAGTCATAATAGCCTTCGCCCACTTCTCTATATGGTGAGATTTGATCTTGTAGTGCTTCTGGCCTAGTATATAGCACCAGTTGAACTTCTCGTCGCCCGAACTATTCTTACATCTCTGGTACTCTGGGCAGATGTGCGTACGGAGAAGTTGTCTGTGCATACCCTCCTTCCGACGCTCGACGTTTGCAGGATCGTTAGCCTCACGATCGATCGCCTCTTGCATGCCGGCTGAAACGCCTGCTCGGCCACCTTTTCGAGGCGTTCGTACGCCAGTCACTATACCACCAGAGATTGGTACGGCGCTGTATTGCCACTTGACGGTGAGGTGGACTTCACCCCTCTCTTCAGCTTGTTCAAGAGAGGGGACAATATCAACCCATGGAATACTTGGCCAAGTGACCCCTCCAGTAGACGGATAGACCCGAGTGAAGATTGGTGTTGGTTTAGATGCGTTGGTGGGCTTCCTCCAAGCAACGACAACAGCGATATTGGCCTTCTTCACAATATACGAGTGAGCCACTTCTGCCTCAAGTTGGGCGCCGCTGTCTGCCTCCCAGTCTCTACTATTCGCATCTAATACAGGAGCAATACTGAATCTGTTATACGCGATGCTCTCGATGGTTAGATCGAGAACAGGTAAACCGTTACCCTTGAGCGCTGGGCCACGGGTAACCTGGATTTGTAGCAGAGTTGGTTCCTCGTTACCCATATCGTCCTCCTCTTCAAATACATCGTGGAACGACATAAACGTATCATCAGCGCTATGGCGAGGGGCCGTAGGCGTATCGTCCGCAAATCGAGTGGTTTGACGAGGGGTTGGGTTAACTGGGGTCGAGTCTGGTCGAAACGGTGGCATCGACGAAGGCAGAGTACTTCGGAGCCGGATCGTATGCGGCGGATCCTTCTTTCGCTTCCTCTGCGTTGTCGTTGCTTTTTGGCGAGAGGACGCTTTTGGAGCTCTTCGTGATGACGGAGGGGCTATAAGTACACGCTTTCTTCGCGATGTAGACTCAGCCGCCACCAAATCATTAGTCTCGGGTCCAGCCTCGGCGACGATAACCTCCTCGGCGGCCTCCTCGGCGGCCTCTTCGGCGGCGGCAGCCCGGCGAGCCCTCTCGGCGGGCGTAACGATCCTGATCGACGGCGAGGCAGAGCGTTGAGGAGGATCTCTGGCGGCGTCCTGTGCCAGTTGTTGTATACGTCGTTGTTTCCGCGTACCGTTGGCGATGGGTGACGGACGATGCCCAGAAGGGTCATCATCCGCCTGCCGAGCCGCGCGGCGGCGTTTAGGAGGCATCACGATGCCCTCAGATAATGAGATTCAATAGAAATAGATCAATTGAAGCCATCAGAATAGGTCAATTGCCGTACTACGAATATCTACGTGGCGTTGGGCAAATTTTCATGTATATACAGGGATTATGCGTGCGTAATTTCGGCAAAAAGGGGGGGCGGACGCTGTCAACGCAACGGAGTGTACCTAAGACCCTCACTCCCGGTGCTCTTTCTGCATCACTTCCATTCCAGTCTCTCTTCTCCCCTCCTTCCCTCCCCCTCCATCCGTCACCTTCACGGGGTCTCTGACAGTCACTCTCTTACTCGCTCGCCGCCGCTCGCTCGCTCTCACTCTCTTTTTTGATCTCGTGGCTTGCTCTCCAGCTCGTCGCCCTCAGCCATTCTTTTTTTCCCTCCTCCCGAAATACCGACTTGCGGATCCCGCTCCTTTCTTGGCTTCAAGTCCCTGCTGCCTTTTGCAGGTCTTGCACGTTCATTTCTCTTGGACCCCGTTTGTGTGTGTGTGTTGATCGCATTCGTTTCTTGACTCGACTTTTTTGCAAAAAAGACAGCCGTTGCTGATCGACTTCGAGACTACCTTCTTGTGGTATTATCGGTTTTTTCCCAGCCTCCGGTTCCTCGCGCGGCTTCGATCCCAGGTTCCATTCCCGCCCGGCCAGTGTCATCGCCAGACATCGTCTTACACGAACCCCCGACAGCGTCATATCGCAAACCGCCTCACGCCAAGTCGCCCGACGTCAACCTCGAACTGCGTAAAACGGTCACTCGTATCAAGCGTAGATTGTAAAAGAGGAGGACTCATCGAACTCGTAAACCCGCTCCGCTAGATTCTACCGCCAAAACGACGCATCGCGCATCCCGTCTTAGACGTACTCCCGCACCGACCCGCCTCACCGAAAAGCGACTCCTTGCTCTCACCACCACTCAATTTAGGACTCTGACTGAGGTGCTGGGCATCAAACGCCGGAATTCCAATTTGGTTCTGTGCCTGCAAGACAAGAACGTAAAAGTCGCATCTCCGTAGCGTCGAAGTCAACCGCCTCTTATTGGACAATATTGAGGTCAAGCCATCACCAACCTCACCGACGACGCACCTTCCACCATCATCATCAAAACAACAAACCCACGTCACGTGCTAGGAAAAAAAATCAGTCACTGAAAATCAGAATCTCTTTCGTCAAGAAGGTTCTGATTCACTCCTAACAGTGTCAAAGAAGCAACAAAGTGTGTTGTCGACTCGTTGAGGAAGGTCCAAAAAAGGAAGGCTCGGTGAACACCCACGACCTACCTCCTTCCATCAACAGCTTCATTCACCACCACGACCGCCCTTTAGCGCCTCGCTTAGCCCCACACACCCGCCCTTCTTCGATCTCACGCCGACCTGGTGCCTCTCAACTCTCCCACCTCTCTCTCGCGTCAACAACTTTCTCCTCCGCCTTCACAAAAACAACCCACAACACCTCAACCGAAAGATCACCAAGTATCGTTTGCGCGCCTCGACCTTTGCGAGGTTCGTTCTTTTCTGCACTCCAACTGGACTTTGGAACCAGGACTCTCATTCAATATTTTATTGTCTAAGAGACCTTTGGTTGCTCAGGTAGCGATTTCAGACTCTTTCCAACCGGCAAGTTTCCACATCGCATACTCACCCTCCTTTTTCCTTTTGGAACCCAACGACCCTCTGTCGCATCGGCATACCTTACTTTGATACCCCATCTTTCGTATCATCATTTCTTACCCCCCTTACTTTATCTCTGATACCCTTCATCAACCACTTCAAATCAGTCAAGATGAAGTTCAGCGCAATCCAGCTTTCCGTCTCGGTTGGCGCCTTGCTCGTCAGCTCCGTTGACGCCTTCTGGCGCATGGAGTGCCAGGGCCGTGTCGGTCTCGCTCGTGTTGACCCTCTCATGAACCCTGGCGAGGCTGCCACTCACGTCCACGCCATTCACGGCTCCAGCGGTATGATTCCCCCTTTGCCTTGCTTGGTACATGGACTAACACAAAGACAGGCATCTCGCCCTCTGCTGACTTCGCTGCCCTCACCGGCGCTGACTGCACCTCGTGCCGTGTCACCCAGGACAAGTCCGCCTACTGGACTCCTGCTCTCTACTTCCAGGACTCTGCCACTGGCGAGTTCGAGATTGTCGAGCAAGTCGGCGGAATGCTTGCGTAAGTCCTGCAATCCTACAACTGTCAACTGAGCGCCTCATGCTAACATGGACAGGTATTATCTTCTTAATGGAAAGAATATCAAGGCATTCCCGCCTGGCTTCCGCATGGTTGCTGGCGACACTGACCGTCGCAACTACACCGCTGGTGACCCTTCTCAGCCCGACCCCCAGAAGTCTGAGTGGGCCGCGCTTGGCCAGACCAAGCAGTCCGTCCTCGAGCAGCGCGCTGTCGGCTTCAACTGCCTCAACTACGCTCGCGCTCCTGAGGGCACTCTATACCGCCACTTCCTGCCCGACAAGGCCTACCTCGATGCCAACTGCGCCAACGGTGTGCGTTTCGAGATGATGTTCCCTTCTTGCTGGAACGGCAAGGATCTCGATTCTACTGACCACAAGTCCCACATGGCCTACCCTGACCTTGTCATTGACGGCACTTGCCCCGAGGGCTTCGAGACCTCCACCCCCAACCTGCTGTACGAGACCATCTGGAACACCTACGCCTTCAAGGACCGTGCCGGTCGCTTCGTCATTGCCAACGGTGACACCCAGGGCTACGGATACCACGGCGACTTCATGTCCGGCTGGGATGAGGACTTCCTCCAGGAGGCCGTTGACACCTGCACCAACGGCTCTGGTCGCATTGAGGACTGCGCCATCTTTGACCTTCAGACTGAGGCTCAGGTCAAGCAGTGCCACATGAGCATTCCCTCCATCCTCTCCTCTGAGAACGTCACTGGCCCCGACACTGCCCTTCCCGGCAATGTTCCCATCACCTTCGGTGACGGCTCCTCTGAGGGCGGCTCTGGCGGCTCTGCCAGCTCTTCTATCAAGCCCACTGCCATCATCACTCCCACCGTCCCTGTCCTCACTTATACACCCGGCAAGACTGCTACCGCCAACCCTCTTCCCGGCCAGGTCTTCCACGAGAGCGGCAAGGCTGGCTACGGCACTGCCTCTGGAGTCGCTGCCGAGGCTGCTTCCTCGGAGGCTCCCGCTACCAGCGCCCCCGAGCAGACGCCCACTCCCATCTTCGAGTCCATCACCTCGGCTCCCACCTCGACCCCCAAGTTCGTGTCCACTCAGACCATCACGAACGGCCACACCGTGTCGATCATCTACTGGGAGGAGGAGATTGTCTACGTCACCGAGTACGACGACATCACGACCACTCAGACGGTCACGGCGACTCCCACGTCTCCTGCCATGCGTGCTCGTCACCTTCACCACCACCGTCGCCACCACTTCTAAGTGGTTTCGTTGCTTTCTCGATTTTCCGGGACTCTCGTCTCCATTTCGGTTATGGGTTGCGAAAAAAATTAGGGTTTGGGATCGCGTTTGTGCAGGACAAGCATCAGGATGCAACGTCCGTTTCTCCTCAGCAAAAGGAACCCTTACCACGGAAATGATTTGGCTCCCCATTGGTTTTCCCGTATCTTGCTCATGGAAACCTTTTGTTGTTGTCTGGACATTATGAGCAGACGCATCTTTTTTCTGGAGGTAGTTAGCAAGGTATGGGCATGGTATGGCCTGCGTCATGAGATATGGTGATCATTAGGCGGCAAATCATCAAGTTCAGGTTCTTGCATTTTCTGTTTTTCTTCTCGGTGGACGTTCGTGAGCTGCGCGTAGTCGGGGACCGTCGTCGTAGCCATTGACTGGCGGTGTTTGTGGTTTGCTTTTCGCTTTTGCTTTCGTAACGACTCAGTGCATCATCATCATCATCATCATCCTGTAGGCGTTTTATGTCTGAGAGATACCTCTTGTTCAGTGTCGTTTGAAAATATTCCCATTCACGGCATCCACCTGACCATATACCCGCGTAGAGACTGTTGATCCCCTTATGCCCGCTCTGTGATGATCCGACTTTTACACCATCTCATGGTTCCCCGCACTTGATTCCCCTCTCCCGCCATTCCGACAAGCGACGTCGTCGAGCCAAGCATCAGGACGTTTACTCCGCCGCTTTTCCGCCATGACCTAGACCGCTTCCGGATCGCTCAACGGCCATGCAGTTTGGCCTGCAGTAGTTTTTCCTTCTAATCGAATCACACAACGCCATTCCCGACGCCATGGGAGCGGGCCGTTTTATTATCTTGTACGTCGTCGGACGCAAACCCCGCTGCAGCTTTCTTGGTGAACGTATCTGACGGCTGACGCTTTTTGGCCTTTAACTACGTTGCGTGACGTGCAGCCTCCAACCCCGCATCGCACCCCCCCCATCTTTCCTCGGACGGCGATCCTCCGCGCATCTGGCTTGGGCCGCTGATGGCGTTGCATTTCTCCTGGGTCGCCCACCAACAATTGACGTTTGTTTCCTTTCCCCTCATCGGATGAACTGGAGCTGCCCGCGAGTTCGGTCGTCGATATCGAGGACCCCTCACCGTAACCCTTCTTGATCCCAGTACCCTGGTTCAGCACACTGGGGGGGAGCAGCAATCAGACAACACAATGGGCCGAGAGGTGATGTCAAAGGTCACTGGGGTGGTGGTGTTCTTGTTCATTGCGGGGATGGTGGCACGACAATGGGACTGGGACGGTTTTGGGGTATGTTGCATTCTGTTCCCTTGGCATTGAAGCTATTCACGCAGGTCGCTTGATGAGGGGACTGGCGGTGGGTTATATGAAGAACCCATCCTCACCCTCCCCTCTACCTTCATCCCACCGGCGCAGTCCTCTCTTCTTCCTGACGAGGCCCTTCTGTGTTCACCAGCACTTACAAACCAATAACACAGACCTGCCCCTCCTCCCCTCTAAGGATGCGCGCCCAAAAGGTCATCCTCCCCCTCGCCGCCACGGGCCCCGCCAGCGCGCTCGTCTCGCGCGACGGCGTGACGGGCCGCCTGCCCGCGCTGGGCTGGAGCTCGTGGAACGAGTTCGGGTGCGACATCAACGAGACGGTCTTCGTGGGCGTCGCGCAGCTGATGGTGGACCTCGGGCTGAAGGACCTAGGGTACGAGTACGTCAACATCGACGACTGCTGGAGCGACAAGGAGCTCCGGCGGGATAACGTGACCAAGGAGATTGTGGTGGACGCGGAGAAGTTCCCGCTGGGGATGAAGCATATGGTTGATCGGATTCATGACATGGGGTTGAAGGTTGGGATTTACAGCGATGCTGGTGAGTTCTTTTCTTGTCCCCCGGTCTCTTTCAACGGAGGTGGTGAGGGGCAGTTTGGAGGGGTTGTCTTGACGCGGTACGCGGTGTGAGGAGGGGTGTAAGTGAGGCTCTGGGAAGGAGGGAATGCTGCGATGGCTAGTGTTTCGGATGTGACGACGAGCTGATGGCTGATGACATACTCCTTGCAGGGACGTCCACGTGTGGAGGGTATGAGGGATCGCTAGGCTACGAGGAAATCGACGCCGCGACGTTTGCGAAATGGGGCATCGACTGTGAGTTTCTCCCCCTCCGTCATATCCAACAACCCCCCTTCTCCCTCTGCCCACGATCTCAACCCCCCTTGCACCAGATCCTCCCTCCCCAGAACGTCTCACTCTGTGACAATCTTCAGCCGCACACATCACCTCTAACACACCCACAGACCTCAAGTACGACAACTGCAACGTCCCCGAATCCTGGTTCGACGAGTGGAAATACGTGCCCGAGCTCTGGCTCGGCGGCCCGCCGAACGAGAACCAAGACAACGGCGACCCGGTCAACTCCAAGACGGGCCTGCCCGCGCCGGCCGGCTACGACTGGTCGACCTCCCAGACCGCAGAGCGCTACCGCCGCATGCGCGACGCGCTGCTCGCGCAGGACCGCACGATCGAGTACTCCCTCTGCGCGTGGGGCCACGCGCACGTCGAGGCCTGGGGCAACGAGACGGGCCACAGCTGGCGCATGTGGGGGGACATCTACCCGGAGTGGCTGGGCCAGCACCAGTGGTCGTGGGGCCTGATGCCGATCCTGAACCACGCGGCGTTTTGGTCGTCGGCGCAGGTCAACGGGTTCTGGGGCCACGGCGACTGGGACATGCTCGAGGTCGGGAACGGCAATCTGACGCTGGCGGAGAGCCGGAGCCACTTTGCGTTCTGGGCGGCGCTGAAGAGCCCGCTGATCATCGGCACGCGGCTGGACGGGATCGCGCCCGAGGTGCTGGAGATTTTGGTCAACAAGGAGCTGGTGGCGTTTAACCAGGACGGCGTGTTTGGGCAGGCGGCGCAGCCGTACAAGTGGGGGGTGAACCCTGACGGGACGTGGAACATCACGCACCCGGCGGAGTTCTGGGCCGGGGAGAGCGTGGAGGGGACGCATGTGTTTGTGCTCAATACGCTGGAGGGGACGGAGGAGAAGACGGTGGTGTTCGGCGAGGTGCCGGGGCTGGAGGCCGGGAAGAAGTACGCGGTGCACGACATGTGGACGGGCAAGGATCTGGGCGTGTTCGAGGACGAGGTAACGGTTGAGATTGGCAGTCACGATACGGCGGCGCTGAGGATCAATGAGGTGCAGTGCAAGAAGAGGTCTTTGGGCCGGGCGATGAAGTGGTTGTAGAGTGGGAGATCACATGCGAAGATGAAGCCGGGCGGGAGCTGGATGCAAGGGGGAGCGGCAAGGCCAGATCGTAATAAACCCCCAAGAAACCCGACCATCAAAGCAAAAAGGTTGTCTAATCCATTGAAGAAAGACGGCAAAACATAAATAGTAAACGAAGAGTGTGTCGTCCTTGCCCAAGAAAGGTCGTTGTTTACCGCCCCAAGCCAAGAGCAATGTCAGCTCATCTCACACAGATGACATCGAGCCGCGCCCGCATGCCAGCACCCGGCGAGGCTATTCCCAAAACCAGTGACCGCCACCCAGCCCGGACCGCGAATTCATATTGCATCACGTTCTTGTCGGCCTCCCGCGGTTCCGAGCGTTCTAAGACTTTTCCAAGTTGTGGTAGCTGGTCTTGCGGGGGGGCGGGCAGGCTGTTTTTTTTCTGCCCTCCTCCCCGTCCCCATCCCTCTATTGGAATGCATTCCCCAGGACAACTCACTGGAAACGCATTCCAGACAAGACTGATTAGACTGAGACCACCACTTCATCTCTCTTTTTGGGGATCTGATGTCAAAACATGGAAAGAAAGACCTACCATCGAACCAGCCAGCCTGTCACGGGTGCTGGAAGGTGTATTTTCTCTGGGAGAAATGCAAACCCAGCCATCTTTCATTTCATGGGGCGGCCTGGAAAGCGAACAACAACACAGCAGCATCTTGTGATTGCATCCCCTCCTCTATGCTGCCTGACCTTCTTGGAGGGTTAGACCGTTTTGCCCATTCTTTTGACTCTGTTTACACACCGTTATCTGAATTTCCTTTCTCTCTGTAGTTTTTCCCCATCCTTTTCCAATTTGGACTTCTATCATACATCGACCGAGAAACAAATTGTACTTGTGGGAGAGAAGTAGGGGAACGCCAAACCAGCCAGTGCCGAATCATGAGAATCCTCTTCGCAGCCTCATCACCTCTTCACCAACTCTGACCCTCTCCGGATTCTCTCGCCAAGGGGCGTAAAAGCCTCCAACACCACAAAACCTTGACGCCAGATACCCACGAAACGGCGTTCGCACAATGACATCCCTCCTCCCCCGCGAAGACGCCCCGGGCACGACAACCCAACCGGCAGCGCCCACCGCCTCCTCAACCGCCACCAGCGGCATGACCCTCCCGCTCCTCCTCGCAATAGCAATAGGCGGCGGCGTCCTCCTCTTCATCTGCCTCGCCTTCCTCCTCATCGCCCTCGCAGGCCGCCGCCACCGCGCCGCCGCCGCCGCCCGCTCAGACAACAGCAACAGCAACCCCAACTCGGCCTCGTGCTCGCCGCGTACAGACGCAGAATGCGGCGCCTCAGAAGCCGGGGACCGGTCCCCGCGCACGCCAAGCCCGCGCCCGCGCCGCCTCACGAAAGCGAAGCCGGGAAGCCGCGACGGCAGAAGCCGGTCGTATATGGACATGGCCGAGATCCAGCACCAGCGGCGGCAGCACCAGCACCGGTCCCTGGCGTCCATCATCGGCCTCCCGCGGAGCAAGACGTTCAGCGTGTTCGGGACGACGTCGGATGCAGAGGGCGGGCAGCAGCGCGGCGGGCATCTGCGGAGGAATAACAGCTGGATCGACGAGGACGCCATCCACGGGCCGAGGGTGCAGAAGGACGACCGCCGGCTGAGTATTCGGGACAGCTTCATCTTGCGGACGCCCACGCTGCCGGACTTTTCGACGTTTAAGGAGGAGGAGGCGTTTGCGAGCGAGCTGGGCGGCGACGGCGGCGGCGGTGGCCAGTACGCGATCACGCAGCCGCGGCCAGTGAGTCTGCCCGCGCCAAGGGGCAACCCGCCTCGGATCCCGCTGCCGAGGACGGCCTCGTACGAGCTCGCAGAGAGATTGGCTGCCGCCGCGAGGGGCGGTCCCCCTGTGCCGGCTCCGTCTCCTCAGGGCCCGCGGCCGGCGCCACTCCCAAGGCTGCGCCATAAGACGACCGAGTCTGATTTGGCGGAGATCCTGCGGTCGACGGAGGAGAGGTTGATGAATGGAACGCCGAGCAACAGTCGGCCTGCGACGCGGCAGAGGGCGAATTCGGCGTCGGCGGGGTCGAGCGTCAGGACGCCGAGGGGGTCGCCCACGAAAGGGGGATCGCCCACAAAGTCGGGGTCACCAGTGAAGATGCTGGGGTCGACAACGGGATCGCCTGTCAGGATGGTTCCGCGGTCGGTATCGGGGTCTCCTGTGAGGATGGCATCGGGTTCGCCTGTCAGGATGGCGCCGCGGTCAGTATCGGGGTCGCCGATAAGGATGGTGCCGCATTCGCCGACGAAGCCGTCTTCGCCGATCAAGTTTGAGTCGTCGCCGGAGAGGAGCGTTGTAATCCATCACGTCGGACAGGCGTTGGATGCGAGCGCGCAGCAGCAACTTCAGCATCAATTGCAACAACAGCAAATCCAGCAACAGCAATTCCGGCAGAGTTTGCATCAACAACAAATGCAGCAACAGCTACAACTGCAGCAACTGCAACGCCAACAGCAGAGGACGCGCACCCCGAGTCCGCACAAGAGGATGGTTGCGCCGGTGTTGGTACAGACACCGGTCCACAACCACCGCCGCAACACCTCGCAGTCGTCAGCAGTCTCGGACGCAGATAGCTTGTTCGGAGAGACGACGCCAGAGGTTGAGCACGTATTGCCCACGGGGCTGTCAAGTCCCAGTCGACGGTCCGATCACGAGTCTCCCGGTAACAAAGGGGAAAAGGCGGAGGATCGGTGCATGTCGATGGCCTCACTCGGGAGCAATGCGTCCTCGTCGCTGTCGACGCTGTACAGCGTCAACGAGCCGGAGGACGACAGCAAGACGGGCGGCCAGGGCGGCGGCATAATACGGGGCCGGAAGCCGAAGGGGCTGACGATTGACACGGCCATCTGTGATCCGTTCATCTCGCCACCCATTGTGCCGCCGAGGAGCCCGAAGCGGCAGTCCTCGAGCCTGCCTCCCCTCCGCCGCATGTCGCCACCGGAAGACAAGGTGCTGATCGAGCCCCCTTTCAATTCCAGATCGGCGAGCAACTCGCCTGTACCCAGACCGTTGGATGTTGTGAAGCGGAATAGCGTGGTGGATAGAGACGGCGGCCGGCTATCGATGATGTTGCCCTCGGACGACTTCGCCCCGTCGCCGGAGACGATCCGCCCCAAGAGCGTCGCGTCGATGAAGCCCGTCTTCCTGGTCTCCAGCACGAGCGTGGCCAGCATGAAGGCTAGCCCCGGAACCTCTCCTGAAGATAACAATCGCCGCCCCGAGATGCCGAATAAGAGGGCCACCTTTGGCCAGAAGCCCGTCTTTCCGCCGCCTCTCAACCTGCGACCGGGTCATGGATCGCCTAATCGCGACGCGCTGGCGATGGGCAGCGCTGGGGGCGGCTTCACAATTGCCGGTACATCCCCTACCCTTCGCTCGACAGCGAGAGACTCCCTTGACAGTCGCGGCTCGCACTCACCCACGCGCCGACCTCTCCCCAGCCCAGAACTCCCCAGCGAGGCGAGACACGGCTCACCCACGCCAGGACGGTATAAGCGCCGCGGCATGGCCAGCAGCCCCATCCGAGAGCGCATGCAGTCACGCCAACCAGCAAACCCAAGGGACAACCGTACCGACAAGGTCATCCCGAGCACCTCGTGCCCGTCCATTGTGCTCAATAGCAACTCCTCCTCGGCGAACAGCTCGCCGAAGCGCGGCTCCTTCCAACACCGGGACTTCGCCGTGATGGGGCTGCAGTCGACGGTAGCACAACTGCGGCGCATGAACAGCCAGATGAGCACCCTCAGCGCGGGCTCCTCCGTCTCGGATCCAGACAGCCCGACGCTGCCCAACTTCCGCGGGGGCGGCTTCAGCCCGGATCGCAGCAACAGCCGCATCAGCAAGATTGGGCGGCAGAACTACCTGTCGCTGGGCCTGAGCCAGAGCCAGAAGGCCAAGCGGAACCCGCGCGGGGCGTCGATCAAGGGCGCGAGGAACTCCATCGCCGTGATTAGGAGCCGGCCTGGCGGTAGTGGGAGGTTGGATGAGCTGAAGGCGGCGGTGGAGGAGAAGGAGAATGAGAACGACGAGGAGGAGGATGCGGCGCGGCCGAATAGTATCATCAGGGGGCCCAGACCGCTTAACCCGACACCGAGGAGCGCGGTAAGGGGAGCAGCGCGGGCGAGTACGGGAACGTTGGAGAGTCCCACGAGGAGGGCCTGGATTGACGCAGAGGAGAAGGTTGACAAGGGAAAGCAGAAGAATGAAGAGGACAGCGGAGGATCGAGGCTGAAGGTGATGGAGGTGTCTCCGAGGAAGATATCCGACGGATTGGCCGGGCCCAGCAGGAGCGGCTCTAACTTGAGGATTTGATGGCCTCGTTCTTTCTTTTGTATTTTTCTAACTGTAACCATCATTTTCAGGGACAGCGGGCGTCGTTTCTGGTGTTGAGATCGGACACATTACGGAACGAGATATACCTACACAAGTATTAGTATAATTTAAATGGCACAATCACTCTGATCAAATTACCCAACGAGACCTAGCCTCGGCGGTTCACAGTACGCCGTGGAATCATCATAACAGCTGGAGCAAGAGAACTTTGAGAAAATGAATTTCCTACCTCATACTGAGTCCAGGTCCCGATGTTTTGGTATCATGCCGCCTCTAACCACCTCCACTGCACAAACACACTCCCTCTATGGCTCATCCACGCGCGGCCGCTTGTTCTCGGGATCGTCGTGGCCGTTCACACCGCCGCCGTTGACCTCATCGTGGCCTCTGACCCTTCCCGCGCCCTCCCCAAGCTCACCGCCCTCCTCGCCATTCTGCCCGCCGATCCAGTTCCCATCCGCGTCAAAGTGCAAGTGCACGTTCTCCGCCGTGATCCAGCCCCCGCTGCCCGGGAACGAAGGCGGCAGCCCGCCATCCGCCGCGCCGTGCAGCACACCCGTGTACCCCTCCACGGGCTCGTGATCGCCCTCGAAGATAATGCGCCCGCCAGCGTCGTCGTCCATCTCCTCGTCCTCATCGGCCGGGTCCGGGTGCAGATCCGAGCACGTCGAGATCGCTTCGTAGAATTTTTGCACGTCCGCTTGCGCGCCGTCCGTCAGGCCCGGGACGATGGTCAGGTCGACCGTGTCGTAGTCGTCGTCGCCGTCGCCGTCGCCGCCGTCCGCGAGCTGGAGCTGCATCCAGATGGCCTGGAGCGGCTTGTCGTCGGCGATGGTGCCGACCGCCTTGACGGCGTGGATGGAGATGGCGGGGTACGAGATGCCGACACCTGCTCCTGCCGCTGACGAGAAGATGATGAATTGCCTGGCATCCACACGTCAGCTTCATCTCTCCTCCGACCTCAATTGAGTGTCCCAAGTAGTCGAATAGCTTACTCTGAAGTAACAAAGACCGACACAGTCTGCTCGACCAGCTCCTCTCCAGCATCCCTCAACGTCGCGCCTTCGGGGGCGCTCGCAGCAGTGGAGCCATCCGCCGGGAACACGACGGCCAGGCCGCCCTTTTGCGACGCGGGAACCCACGCCCTGGCGGCCTCAAGGTGGGAATGCAACACTGCCTTCTCGGGTGTGAAGGACTGCGGGGTCTGCGACTCCCACTCCTCGATCGGGGTGTAATCCGCGACCGCAGGCGGCGTGCGGATGGTGACCGGCAGCATGTTGACGGCTTTCCGGATTTGTGTTAAATCGATGTTGGACCCTTTCAACGGCGACATGGTGGGGTTGGCGTTGGAGGGAAACACAGCTTTCTGGCAGAGGGAAGCTCTTATCGCTATCAGCACGTGACTGTATCGAGACCTTGTCGGAGATGATGTAATCTAGAAGGAGGAAAGAGGGAAGGCGGTGAGATGCTTGTGCGGTATGCTGAGGAATACGTACCTCTTCTCCATGCTCGGAGGGGCCTGAGCTCTCCACACCACACCGACCTCTCCGCCTTGTCGGTGCCGTCGCGGGGACGACAGTAACCACCAACACCACACAGACACTCCACGAATCTCTTGCAGGTCTCAGGCACAAGAAGCCGCGACGCAAGACCACATGCTTCTCTCCCAAAGCTGACCCCGTCCCTCATAACGGCTTCTTCCTCATAAAAATTGGACTCTCGCTTCTACAACTGAACCAAAAGGAAAGCTGCCTACCCATTGCCCATCATGTACAGCAATCGTAAGCCACCCTTCTCCCTCCATCGCCAACACCATCACCACTAACACAAACCCCCAGGCTCCCACCCCCTCCTCGAGCAGGTCCCCCTGACAGTCTCCCCCTTCATCTCCCTCCCGACCGCCACAACCCTCTCCTACAACTACAAAGCGATGCCCTCCGCCCTGCCGCCCTCCGCAACCGGCATACCCGCCGCTGGCCCCGACGACTCCGGCAACCCAAACCCGCAACCCGCCGACGCCAGCACCAAGCCCAAATACGTCGTCTCGCAGTCCGGCCACGCCGCCCACCCGGACGACATCATCGCCTCCTGCCGTGCGCTGCAGGCGCACATCGAGAAGATGCAGGCGGACGCCGAGCGCGACCTGCGCGAACTCGAGGAGCGCATCCAGGCGCGCGAGCTCGCCGAGAAGAGGCGCGTGGCGCCGGGCTGGCTTGACAGCGACGCGCGGCTGCTCGAGCCGGAGCGCGCGGGCGGCGAGGAGCTGCAGGATGCGCAGACGATGGCGGCGGGGCAGGCGGGCGCGAGCGAGATGCCGGTGAATGACCAGGGCGCGGAGCTAGATCGGGTGTTTGGCGGGTTGAGTATGAAGTGACACAACCAGGCGATGACGAGGTGTGGAGTGCTTCTGCGGTTGGCGATGTGTGAAATTCAGGTTTGGCGTTATTCTTGGGTGTTATGGGGGGCAATATGGGCTGTTGATATGAGGCCCTTTTGGCGGATATTTGATTCACGTTTCATGGTCGGCTGCAGACGCCAGCTTGACATATAAGCATTGCTTTACTTTTGATTTCTAACGAGGGTTGCTCGGCTTGTTCTGCCGGGACCTCCGTAGTGTGGTAGAGACAACACCGAGATGTTCCCCCTCTTTCCGCCGTATGCTTACTCTTCTATCCACCTTTGTCGTTGCATAGTATATTTCAACAGATGTTCATGTGTGAGAGGTATATCTGGCCTCATGGTCTTGCCAGAGTAAGAGGACCTAAGAAGTCGGCCGGAATTTGACGATGTGACCTTACTGGCTGGACATTAAATGCCATAACATAATTACACACGAATCAATGGACCTGACGGCAAGAAGATGCCTTGCAAGGAACGAGGGCTTTCAATTTCGTATGTGGCTGACTTTTTTGGGGGGATTTACAGAATGCTGCGGTGTAGACTGTCACAGCCGGGTACAACAGGTAGCTCAAGTGTTCAAGGTGTATCTGTGCTGACCGAGGAAAAAAAAAAAAATAGTGATTACCACCTGATGTGTACTTCAAGGCTTCAGAGCAGAAAATTTAATGACGCGAATAAGCCTTGAGGTATTTGATAAGAATAATTACTCATTAGATCATGCTAGAAATTATTTACAGAAGAATTTCATGACTGATTCCTTGCTGTGCAAGCGCGCCTATTCCCGATCAAAGTCGAAGCTTGTCTCGGACTTCCTGGTCCACTGGTGCACCAACCGATCGCCGGAGCGCTTCTTCTCACGGAACAACGCCTCGGTCATGTACTTGTACAACCAGATGTTTGCACCGTTGTACGCAATGCTATGGTCGCTGTCGGTGAAGGAGAGCCAGTTCATCTTGTCGTTGGGCACGCCGGCGCTGACCAGCAGATCAATCAGCGCTGCGGCGTTCTGGTAGTGCACGTTGTCATCGCCGGTGCCGTGGAGGATGGTGAACTCGCCGGCAATGTTCTTGAAGCCGGCAGGGTTGCGGACGGCCGTCTCGTTGTAGCCCTCCTCGTTCTCGCCCAGGCTCTTCATGTAGCGCTCCGTGTAGACCGAGTCGTAGAAGCGCCAGTCGCTGACGGGCGCGACGATGAGCGCGTGGGAGAAGACGCCGGAGTCTTGCTCGACCACCTTTGCCGAGAGGTATCCGCCGTATGACCAGCCAAAGATGCCAATCTTGCCGGCGTCGACGAAGGAGTTCTTGGATGCCAGCTGCTCGGCGGCCCAGATCTGGTCGAGGGGCTCGAGGCGGCCGAGGTGGCCGGCGACGAGGGACCGGTAGGCGCGGCCCTTGTAGCCTGTGCCGCGGTTGTCGACGGTGTAGGTGATGTACTCGAGCTCGGGGTCCGAGGAGATAAAGGCCGACCAGCTGATGGTCTGGTATCGCTTCGTGACTTGCTGCGAGCCGGGGCCGCCGTAGGGGGTGAAGAGGACGGGGTACTTCTTGGAGGGGTCAAAGTTGGCGGGGAGACGCTGCATCACGTTCAGGCTGTATCCGTCGGGGTGGGTGAGCTCGAAGTAGGTGATGTTGGGCAGCTTATACTCCTTGAGGCGCGCGACGAGGGCGTCGTTGCTGGTGATGGTGCGGATGGGCTCGGTGGAGTTGACGGCGTACAGCTCCTGGTAGGGAACATTGGGACCCTGGTAGCTGAGGATGTAGTAGCCGCCCGAGGCAGAGAAGGAAGCGCTCCACATGCCGTCGACCTTGTCGTCAACGAGCGCCTTCTTGGTGCCCGCAGGATAAGACACGGAGTAGAGGTGACGCTCGGTGCTGTGGTGCTCGGTGGATTGGTAGTAGACGAGTTGTCGCTCGGTATCAATCTTGACCACAGCCACGACCTCCCACTCGCCGCTGGTCAGAGGGATGGCGTCGCCGCCCTTGACGGGGTACAGGTACAGGTGATTCCAGCCAGTATGGTCGGACAGATCGAGGTAGTACGCGTCGGTGGTGTTCTGCAGGGGGCCGATGTACTCAATGGCCAGGTTGTTGTCCAGCCAGCCGTCGGAACCGTCGCGTTCGCGGATAGTCTGGGATGCGTAGCCATCGACATCGACACGAACAACCTTCGCTTGCTCCTGAACTCGATTGAAGGCGCGGTAGACGAAGCTGGTGTGGTTCTTCGTAACCCACTTCAACTCACCGACAACGAGGTCGTCAGCGGGGAACGCGTCGATGGTGACGGGAGTCGACTTCTCACTGCCGACCTCCAGCACGGTCAGCTGGACGGTCGGGTTCGTGCTGCCGACCTTGGGGTAGCGAAGGTCCAGCTCCTTAGGGTACGGGGGAGCAATCTTCTGGTTGTCCATGTAGTAGGGGATGGTGAAGGTCTCGACGCCGGTCTCGTTGAAGCTCAGGTAGGCAACGTACTCTCCGTCGGGGGAGAACCACAGAGTGCTGCGACCACCGAAGATCTCCTCCTCGTAGACCCAGTCGGGGACTCCGTGGAACAAATCCGGGCCACCATCGTTGGTGATTTGAGAGACGGTGCCGTTCTTGCTGAGGTATAGGTTGTTGCCGCGAACAAATGCCTGCAGTCGTGTAAGCTGGGAGGTTGCAAGACCGTGCTCAATTGGCCGAAACTTACAATGGCGTCGCCAACAGGTGCGAATTCAGCGTATTGGACATCTCCGAGCGCTTCGGGCAGCAGAGGCTGGAGGGCGCCGGACTCGACGTCCAAAATGGAGTAGTCCGCAAAGTACGAGTAGCGGTACTGCTTGGTGTAGTTTGTGGCGAACAGCACCTTCTTCAGGTCCGGGCGGATCCAGTACTCATGTACACCAGCGGGGAACTTGTCGGCAGACACAAAGGTTTTGTTATCGCCTGAAATGATGTCCACGATAACAAGGCCGGCGTCGTCCTGTTCAATGTAGCGGCCGTCGTCGGTCCCGGAGAGCCAGCTGACGGAGCGGGCGCTGGCGCCGAAGCGGGGAGAGACGACGGTCTCGTTCCAGGTGACAATCTTGTCGCCGCCGCCGGAGGGCTGGTGGGGCTCGCGGTCAATGGCGGTCGCGACGCCCACGAGAAGAGCGGTGGCTGCCGCGACGGCGTTGAGGAGACGCGCCATTGCTGTCTGCGGTGCTTCGTTCTGTGCGGAGGAGAAGCGGCGCGAATAGGGTCGAGGAGGTTGGCGGGGAAGGGGAGCGAGAAGCGGAAGAGTTCGAAAGGAAGACGGGTCACGTAGAAAAGCAACCCTGGGGCTTTATAGCTTCCCGGACGATGATTGACGAGAACCCGGACGGCAGGTGCAGCGGTCGTGCGATTGAACGGGAGCATTCGCAATGGTGCGCATCAGGCAGGTCGCATTGCCCGCTGCTGGTGCTGCCGCTGCTGCTTCACGAGGATTAATGGAGTTTGGCGGTCCAACTGGCGGTCGCAGCAGCACAGGTTCATGGCGATGCATGTCGTGCTCGGAGTGCCAAGACGACTTAAGATTGGAGCTTCGCAGCTTCAATGACGGTTGTTGGTCTCGGCAGCGACTGTGAGTGGTTCGTTTGGTCAAGAAAAGGTTGGCTGGGGGCATGGAAGCAAGCTGCAAAAGAACCCGGCCCGGCGGACTACTCCCAGCGTCCATAACGACCTGCCAAAGTTGGTCTGATAATCCAGCTCCCAAGACTTTGTTGTAAATTGGATTTTGGAAGTACCGCAGAGTAAACAGCAGGAGATTCAATCATTCGCTGCTGGGGATGCGGCATCGGGGCAAGAAGACGCAGAAAACACGAGCACGCGAAGAAGAGCCAAGTTGCCAAGACCAAACACCGCGAAGCTGCAGTGGGCAAAATGACCCAGTTCGATGCCGCTTCGGGAAGGTTGCACCTCGAACGGAGCGGACGGGCGGGGACCGCTGCATACCAAAATGGGTACGTACAAGTACTCTGTACTCACTCTGCAGTGGTGAGAGGAACTGACTGTGTGTCGTAGTATTGCTAGTGAAGGTGCACGCGTACACTACATACGGGAGGAAAGGAATAAGAAATACCAAAGGGCGGGCAGTGGCATCACATTGGAATGCGGGCAGCCCGGTCTCCCCCACCGAGCGAGCGATCGAGTGTTGCACTGCCGGCGGCACTTTTCATTTAGTGTTCCATCTTGCCTACCTTACCTTCAGTACCTTCACTACCCTAAGCAACCTTAGTGTGAGGGAGAGTTGCGGGTACTCAAAGTAAGGTATGTAGGTTGCTGATGCAAGGCACTGAGTTTATCGCGTGGTCGACGGGCATTTCAGATGGTGCAACCATTGAGTGACTGGAGTCTGGAAACTGGGGACATGCAAGCACTCACTCTCCAGTCACACCGAGTCTTTTCACTCACACTTTACTTACTACTTACTAGGTGCTGTGCTCTCATCAGATGAGGGGCATCTCATCTCACTCCATGATATGATGTGAGAGCTGATATGAGCGTATGTAAGTACCTAGTATCCGTATGTACCCCCCAGCTTAGGAATCCAATGAACGTACCCCATGTTATCTCACCTTTCTTTAGAAATAAGTGGCCAGAATTAAGACATCGTTGGCTCGAGGCTTGCTTGCACGTTTGCTGGCACAGTCTGTTCTTGGAATTCTCGCCGGCCGCCGAGGCTAAGCGTCTTCAGTCCCCCCCTACCTTACCTTTTGCCTTACCTCAAGGTACCTTGTCATGCTTGTGTAGGTGAGTGTGGTGAGTGAGGACGGTGGCCCCCGCCCAGCCGGAAGACCAGCGGATGCTCCCCGGCCCGCCAATGGAGCGTTTCCCCCGCTGGTATCGTGCCGTGCCACCTGCCCGCCGGACTTAGTGTCAGATCGGTGCGTGTTCGGCACCTCGGGGCTCTTTAAGCCGCCAGCATTGACTTTTGAGGTTTTGAAGGCAGCCCCCGTCATTGGCCGCCCACCTACCC